AGGGCTCAGGGATTAGGGATTAGGGATTAAGGTCTAGGGTGGAGGGTTTAGGCTTGAAGGTTTAGGACCCAATTTAATCGTATATGGTGTATTCTCCTAATTATTACCTACAAACCACCAGTAAATTTAGGACTAAGGGACAAGCGGTTTGGGTCAACTGTCAGGGCTGGAGGTTTCGGGCCAAGTGGTTTAGGGCTAAGGGTTTAGGATTTAGGGTTTGGGATTTAGACCGCAGGGTTTAGCAACAACTGCATGTAAGGAGGGCCCAAAATAGGAGGTTGTAGGGCCTCAGGGAGCCTTAACAAGCTGGCCCTAGAACCAGACCCCTAAACCCTAAACGAGAATTTTGGCAGCTTAACATACTCAAAGCCCATAAACTCTAAACCCTAATCTTGACCCTGCCAAAGATAATTGTACGACCTCTTCTCTATGGACTCTAAACCCGTAACCTTGAAGCGCCTATGGGGAACCATTGTAAGAGGATACAAGGCTCAAGGATCTTAGGTTTTGGGGGGGGCTTCAGGGGCTTTGAGAACATTAGGGCTTTAGGGTTTCAGGTGAGTAGCGTTTTTTTTTGTGGTTAAACCCAGTAAGATTATATTCCTTGTATCAAATGCTATACCCCAAAAGGCGGATATAATCTTACTCTCTATTGGGTACCACAGTATCCCCAAATAAAATACTACTCAGGTGCTCTTGAGGTCTTAGGGTTTGGCTTTCAGGGTTCAGGGCCAAAGCTTTGAGCCAGATTTGAAAACCATAGCACCCAACCCTTGGTTTCGGGTTTAGAGGGTTTAGGGTTTAGGGTTTAGGGTTTAGGGTTTGGGTTTCCCAACCCTCGAAATCAAGACCCTATGACCATCATATGAAATATAGTCTAAACTCCTTAAAGGGGGATATATAGGGGACTATATAGGGAACTACTACAGGGTTTATTAAGGGGGATACTAGGAGTTTAGACAATGGCTCATATGGCCTCTGTAGGGTTTAGGGTTTAGGGTTTAGGGTAGCGTCCTTGGTGAAGGGGTTGGGGTACCCAAATCCTCTTGCTACACAAGTATCCATGCTGCATATCCCCACGTTCCATTGAATGTTCCACTTGATGTTCGATTCGATTCTCCGGTAGAAGAGTTCCCATGAATCCTTCTATTGCCTCTCATAATCCCAATGCTCTCCCGATCATCCTCGAACCCTAAACCCTAAACCCTGAACCTCACACCCTAAACCCTAAGCCCTAAACCTCCAAACCTCAAACCCTCAACCTCAAAACCTCAAACCCTAAACCTTAAAACCTCAAACCCTAAACCCTAAAACCTAAAACCTAAACCTTAAACCTCAAAATCTAAGCCCTAAAGCCAAAACCCTCACCGGGCCATGAATCGTAAGCCGGGTTCTTCCACGGCTGGCCTCCGCCAGTTGAAATCAACGCCATGGGCATTCCCAATGGCACTCCACCTTTACCGAGCCGACTCATTACACGGTTCTAGGGATTGGGATTTTGAGTTGTGGGTTCAGGGTTTAGTTTTAGGGTTCAGGGTTTAGGGTTTTCGGCGTAGTTTCTTGTAGTTATGTATGGATCCTTGGGGGATGATATTGGTGCTGGTGTATCATTCCTCCGAAACCTTGCGCCTTGAGCTAGATGCAGGGCTGAAAGGGCTTAGGGTTTAGCGTTGGGTGGGTTTGTCAAGATGAGGCGCCGACAGAGCTCCTATTGTTACATGCGCTCCAAAGAAAAGCAAATTCCGGAACCTCAAGTAAGGACTGGGGCTAAGGGCTTAGGGCTTAGAGCTTGGGGTTTAGGGTTTAGGGTTCAGGGCTTAGGATTTAGGGCCTAGGGCTTGGGGTTTAGGGTTTACGGCTTCAGTCTGGGTCTATGTTCTATAAAGCTCACCAAGGAAGCTTCATTCGCGTATTTTCGCCAGTGTATAGAGTGTAGTAGACAACAACCCTTGGAGTTCCAAGGGTCTCGTGCAGGGACAACAGCTATGTTTAGGGTTTAGGGTTTGGGGTTTAGGGTTTGGGGTAATCAAAGTATGCAGTAGGATATTGCGGGTCTGTCCCTACTTGGGCTTCACAAATTCAAAGGCCAGAGGTGTTGATGTAGAGCGGTTCGAAATCCCTTTAAAGCAGCCGAATGCCACAAACCACAAATCCTACAACCTAAAGTAAACGCTCCAAGGGTACGTATATGGTAAAGCTGAAAACCCTTCCGCAGCAAATGCCAAAAACTCGGGGCATAGACATGGCAAAAAACACGCTGCGTTCCTCTCTTCTTAGGTCTTGGGATATCAATTAAAAAACCATGTACAACACCATATGACCCCAGTTTCCATGTCATGTTCCATTCTCTTTTCAACGTGATTCTCCATTTTGGTGAAATATCCTAAGTCCTAAGCCTTAGATCCTAAACCCTAAACCCCTAAACCCTAGACCCTAAGCCCTTAGGTCATGGGATAGGAGGATAATACTGCTTCAGCTTTCAAGCTTCCACTGTATAGTCCCCGCAGTACATAGAATATGGGGTATATGGGGACCCTAAACCCTAAACCCTAATCTTATTATAACATACCCAGCCATCTTCTATCTACTTAAGGGGGACTGTACACCTTGAAACTCCAAGGTTTTGCCGCAATTAAGGTTTGGGGTCTGGGGGTTTCTAGTATAGGGTTTCGGGGTTTGGGGTTTGGGCCGTAACTAGCCCTGAAATATGCTCAACCTAGGAGAATTTAGAGGGCGGTAGCGTAGAGTAAGGCCATGAAAGAAGCCTAAAGCCTAAATACTACACACCAAGCCCCAATGCTGAGGCAGCGACCACTTTGCTGCACAGGGAGCAAGCCCACCTTAGTTTAGGGTTGAGGGTCTGTTGTTTTTTAGGTTTAAGGTTTTGGGATTTAGGGTCAGCTTGGCCAAATAAACCCTTAACCCTATCTGGAAAGTCAGTGGTACTTTTCCATGCGTTCCTACCACTTTGTGTTGAGGTAGCCATGTATTTTGAACAACGATGCTGAACAGGTAAACCGTAAATCACACTACTGAACAGTGTTAGCCATTCATGTCACCTGGTTACTGCCAGCATTGATTGCCATGCCTTCCCCGAAGCTAACGTAGAACCTCCTGCTAAACCCTAAACCACTCAACCCTAAACCCTTCAACCCTAAACCCTGCACCCTAAACCCTCAACCCTAAACCCTTCAACCCTATACCATCTTGAGAGGGCGAAACCATTGTTCTCTTGTACAAAAACCCAAGCAGTACTTGCTGAAAAGACGAACCTAAAGGACGGACTTCTGAACGGTCGCGTAAGGCCTCCTTCGAGGCCAGTTGAAAGCGGGTTTAGGGTTTAGGGGTTTAGGGTTTGGGGTTTAAGGTTTAGGGGTTTAGGGTTTAGGGTGAATTTGAAGCTTGAGCTCGAGGGTAATCCATATGAGTCATAGTCTAAACCTCCTAGTATCCCCCTTAATACCACCTATAATCGTCCCCAAAATAATCCTCTAAAACCCCTCCCCCCCTTCAAGGAGTCCAGGAGTTTAGACTATGTCTCAACTTTGGAGTAGCCCCTGGGATCCTTCTGGGTACCTTTGGGTTTAGGGTTTAGGGGTTAGGGTTTAGGGTTTAGGGTTTAGGGTTTAGGGTGGAAGGGGTTCGGGTTGAGGAAAGAGAGGGAAACTGCTCGGGATGACCTATGGATATTGTAGTTAATCTGGTAGGAACTGGTAACTGAATGCCATATCCCAGACCCCTGGGCGGATCTAGAAATTAGAACACCCTTCAAGGTTCCTACAGATCCCCAATACTAGTATAAGGTGTCATATTCGGGGTTCTACTTTCTAGATCTTCCCAGGGGTCTGGGATGGAGTCCTTGGGAGGTTCCAACAGAAAGCTTCATGTTTGGGCTTGCCGGTTTCAAGGTCAATGCGTGGCCTTGGCGGAAAGTAGACCGTTGAAGTTGAAAGATGTTAGAACAACAATGCGAGACACAAAATTGGAATCTGCTTTTGCTCCCTACACCCCAAACATGGCAGGAAAAAACTCACCTTAAGTTGCAACCAAGCATCTAAGGCTTGCATTGGTGCTGCTCCAGTGGCACCTCCTCCACCACCGCACACGCCGCAGCAGGCAGATGGATTGGGAGCACAGCCGCCAAAACAGGCACAGCCACCCCCACAGTTCCCGCCACCGCCGCAAGCCCCGCCACTACATCCACCACCGCTACTCCCACCTCCGCCGCAAGCGTTGCTGCCACAGCCGCCGCAGCCCACGCTGCCGCAACCGCCGCCACTGCCACAACCACCGCCGGCACAGCCACCATTTCCGCAGCCGCTGCCAGCACAGCCTCCGCATGCCATACTGCCACAGCCAGCGGCGCCACAGGCGCCGGCACCACAGGCCCCGGCGCCGCAACCCCCCGCACCGCAACCCCCCGCGCAACCCCCTGCACCACAAGCACCACCACAGCCAGTGTTGCTGCAACCACCGCTGCCTGTACAGCTATTGCCACAACCGCTAGGGCAGCCCCCACAGCCTCCACCACACCCGCTGGGTCCAGCAGAAACTCCACAGCCATCTTGACAAGGTCCGGGGCAGCCGCATCCACTGTTGCAGCTTCCACTGTTGCAGCTTCCTCCACAGCCACAAATGCCACAGCCTCCGCAGCAACCGCCACAGGCGTTCTGAAAGTTGCAGGCGCCACCACCACACGGCATATTCATGCAGCCGCTGGCACCACAACTTCTAAAATTGCTGTCCATGCCACAGGCGCCACTGCAGTTTCCTCCGCACGAGCCGCCACAAGCACCACTGCAGGCGCCACTACACGCGCCACTGCAGGCACCACTGCAAGCGCCACTGCAAGCACCGCTGCAAGAGCCAGTTGGAGTGCCACAGCATCCACTGCAGCCGCAAGCACCTTGGCAAGGCGCGTTGGGGCAGCCACAGCTAAGGCAGCCTACACAAGGCGCGCAGCCTCCACAACCACTGCAGCAACCGCAGCCACTGCAAGCGCTGGGACATCCACATGCGCAACCCTGGCATGGCGCGCAGCCTCCACAGCAGCTGCCACAGCCGTCACAGCCGCAGCCGCCGCAACCGCAACATCCGCTGCCTGTGTTGCTGACGCAACCCTGGCAAGGATTGCAGCCTGAACAGCCGCATCCACAGCCTCCGCATGGACCGCAGCCACAACAGCCACCACAAGGACCTGAAGCTGCATTGACCGGCGCATTCTTGCTTTTGTTGCCCTGGCTTTCACTTTGTCCTTGGCGGCCTTGGTTGGAGCTTCCCTGTTGCGGAGGGTTCCCACAGGCTCCAGAGTCAGTCTGGCTCGGGCCACAGCAGCCCCCACAGAGGCCACAGCCGCCACAGGGCATGTTAGGGCAGCAGGCACAGCCTCCACAGGGTGCACAGCCGCCACAAAGGCAGCCACAAGCTGATGGACAACAGCCACAGGGCTGACAGCCCCCACAGCCACAGGGCATGCATCCACAGCCACACACACCTGGAGCTGTGGGTGGTGGGGCACAGCAGCCACAGCCTCCACAGGAGCCACAGCCAGTTGGGGTGCTCGCCACAGAGCTTGCAGACTCTGCTGTGTTGGACCGCATTGCTCTCTCGTTGCGATCCTGCTGGGATTGCATGGGTGTCTGCTGCTGCTGTAGCTGTTGTTGAAGCTGCTGTTGCTGTTGTTGCAGCTGTTGTTGCTGCTGTTGCTGTTGTTGCTGCTGCTGCTGCTGTTGCTGTTGCTGCTGTTGCTGCTGGTGCTGCTGGTGCGGGTGATCTCGATCTCTGTCCTTGGCATTCTTCCCCTTCCGCTTCTCACGTCTGCCTGTCAGCGAGGCTTTAAGGCGGATGGTTTGGAACGGAAGGACTCCGGCTATACTTGTCTAGAAGCGAAACTTGAATCCAAAGCATATCAAAATGATTTGGATAGGGCTTGGGGTACATTGTACATCGGTTTCTTAGGCTTATACAAAACACTTGTGCGCTTTGTTCTTTGGGCTCCTGGACCTCAACAAGAGCTTCCCGGAACCCTAAACCCTAATCCTCCACCTTCTCGACCTTGGAGCTGACTCTAGGGGTAACCACGACAGGGATGTGGGATTTGCTTACCTTTGGTTAGCTGGGAATGAAGGAATGGAAAAGAAAATGGAAACTAGTTTGACGGACTGTATAGGGACTACTAACTACTATAAGGGTCCATTTCTTCATTCCTAGTCAACCAAAAGTAAGTTTGTGCTGTCACGGCTGTGACAGCGCTCGTCTTGTTGATTGTGCGGAGGTCCTGTTCAGAGTCCGTGCCGGGAGTCTTCTTCCAGACAGCGCAGCCCCACAAGACGGACACAGAAGAGCGTGCCATTGTGTTGCCAAGATTGTGACGGGCTAGCTTTATTGAGGGGCCAACTCTCGGCAAGTTGGGAAAAGGGTGGAGATGTCTTTTGGACAGCCTCTGCAGCCCTAAGAGCGAACCGCAAAATTGGAATGGACTTTCAAGATAAGTATTTGAGTTGCCATCTTCCATGACGCTACAAGGATTTGATGCTTAAATTGCACGCTCTATTCATGCTGCCTAGAACTCCAATTGATACAGTCACCGTTGCAAGGAACCCAAACCTACGAAGCACTTGAGGGTTTCAGGGTTTGGGGCTAAACCCTAAACCCTAAACCCCAAAAAAAGGGCCCCATGATCCCGACAAACTTTGACCGTGAACCCCTCAATCAAAACTGCACACGAAGAAGCCGCCCACCGTACAGACACGGCCCGCAGAAGCTATGCTCAAACCAGTGCCCTAAACCCTAAACCCTAAGCCCCTAATAAACTCACAACGGCCCACTTAGGGGACGGATAGAATATCGGAACCAAACCTACCTCCACACCCTGAACCTGAAAAACCCTAAACCCACAACCTTAAACCCCAACCCCCAAAATCTTAAACCCAACACCCTAATACCTAAACCCTTTAACCCCAAATCCAACATCCCAAGCCCGAAACCCCTAGGCCCTAAACCCCATACATCCTCAACCTTAAAAACCTTAAACCCTGAACCCTAAACCGGCCTTCTTTTCGCTGGGCTTGACCACCTCGGCGCATGTCCCCTTTCAATCCTACCCAACCTCTAAACTCGAAAATCTTGGTATGAAAGTTTGGGGTTACAGGCTCAGGCTTCAGGGCTTAGGGTTTAGGGCTTAGGCTTTAAGGGGCTTAGGGTTTAGGGCTTAGGGTATAGGGTCTAGCGTTTGGGTTTAGGGTTTAGGGTTTGCTCATAGTCGAGGTAGCCTACGCAAGACCAGTTGCTGAGAGCACAAGTCCCAGTCATGATTATATAGTCCCCCTTAAGTAGATAGAATATGGCTTTGGGTATGTTATAGTCAGATCCACGTAAACCCCATATTCTATCTACTTAAGGGGGGCTATAAGTAGTCACTGGTTCCCATGAGCCTCCGAATCGGGGAATACGGGGATCAGAAAAGCGACCCACTCCCCCCCAGTGAAACCCAAACTACTTGGCTGGTGCTTGGGAGGAGTAGGTAAAGTGAATGTAGGGAGTGTTGTAGGGGATTATGTAACCCTAACCCCTAAACCCTCAATGTAGTTACAATTGTGGGGTTCGCTCCTAGACCCTCCCTCCCTCCGGAATTTGAGCGCCGGAATGACCTATATTTGTCATAATCAATGGAGGGTTTAGGGGAGGGGACCACACAAAAGGCGTCTTGACAACCTCCCGCGTGTCGGTTTAGGGTTTACGCTTTAGGGATTCAAGGAGGATGCTTATTTGAAGTTTCAGGTGTAGGTACAAACGGCTGGAAGTGCCCTGAAGTGGGTTATAACTATAGTTATCCCAGCGGCAAACTCATTGATAACTGCCCATGCCAATCTGCATTCAACACCCTCTAAAACGAGGTATACAAGAAGTTTGAATTTCATGTTCCATGCTTTTCCATTTGATTCTCCACTATCCAAATGGCTACCCGCAGACCTCAGCGTGTCATGAGAGACTCCTTCCCGAACCCTAAATGCACATATCCAACTCAATTGCCACCATAATCGCCAAGGGCTTCAGGCTTGTATCCCTAACGTCGTACCCGTACCAGAGGGGCTTAAGGCTTACAGTAGGGTGCCTGCCTAGTAGCCCCCTAAACCCTGAACCCAAAGCTCCACAAACCTTAATGTTTTGAGCCACGCGGTTTAGGGTTTCGGGTTTAGGGCACCTTGACAACACTGGAACCCTACGTGGACCCCCCACCACCCTATACTTGGACCATCTCTTGACTTAGCAAGTCCACTTAGTAACTTGAATTATAAGGCTTAAAATATTAGGGTAGTAGGTAGACTTACAAACAATCCTCCAAGTAATAGACGTAAAATAGAAATATAAACTGACCCTATCATATAGTTACCATTATCCCTGAAGATCACTACTACTGGGTGGGGGGTCAACCTCACTGAAACCTTTGATTCTCCAAGGGTTAGGGAGGAGGTGGAGGTGTCGGAAGAATCGCAGCTCAAGGCTTAGCACTTCGGTCACCCAAACCTCCCCAAATTAAGACTCTATTACTGTCATATGAGCTTTAGTCTAAACTCCTAGTATACCCCTTAATATCCCCTATAGTAGTCCCCTATATAATCCCCTATAACCCCCTTTAAGGAGTTGAGACTATGGCTCCTATGAGAACTTTAAGGTGCTAATTTTCGGCGTTGGAGTTACCAAAATCCTCCCTAAACCCTAAACCCTAAACCCTAAACCCCAAACCCAACTTCAGGGCTGCCCAAAATCAGGATCCACACCCCAAGTTAAAAGCGGTCAGTACCATTAGAAAGCGCCACGCGGTTTAGGGTTCAGGGGTTTAGGGTTTAGGGGTTCAGGGTGCTCTGTTAAAACCTTCCTTTTGGTGCTCTGTCAAAATCTTCCTTTTGGGATCCTCAACAGGGACCCCCACCTTCCGCTCCTCTTCAGGGTCTAGGGTTTAGGGTTTAGCACGAATACCCCTATTCTGAGCGATCTCCATGTAAATGGACCAGCGTTCATATTTCCACTCTGAATTCCGGAACCGAATACACCAAAATCATTCATGACAAAGATTGGAGGCCCATTTGGCATCAAATGCTAGGATCCAGTGACCCGTGATGTTGAGCAAAAACATAAAACCGAAACCCCTCAACCCCTAGACCCTAAAGCCCAAACTCCTTAAACCCTAATACCCTAAAACGACGATCTCGGGCTTCGTGCCGCTTTGGTCGTTCTCGGATGAGACCGGCAGACCTGGTAGAGATATCCCCATGAAATACACGCGGTTTAGTGTTTGGAGTTTAGGGTTTAGGGATCCCCTATACAATCCCTTTCTTCCCTTCTCAGGCCCCTAGGACCAACGACTGAGATGGAGAAAGTTTATGTAGTGGTTTCCCAGGGGAGACATGTAAGGGCTATATGAGCTATAGTCAAACCTTTAGTATCCCCCTCAATAAGCCCTATAGCACTCCCCTATATAATCCCCTATAAAACCCCCTTTAAGGATTAGACTATAGCTCATATATCCGCAATAGCCCTAATAACCTAATACCCTAAACCC